CTCGAGTTAATAATTTTTGCGTCTGGAACTTCACGTCACCATAAGTGGGGCCTGACTGAGTTTAAACTTGCGAGTTCGTACGTAGGGAAAGCGCGGTTCCTAGTTTGTCTGGATCTCGAATCGAAAAGCACGGACAGAACGCACCCGGAGCACACCTACACCCACCAGTATACAAATACGCACTGACAGGGGCGTTGCAATATGCATTTTGTGCAGCTGCTACAAAGCACAAAACTTATAAGAACAAATTTCAGGACAGCTACTTCTGTGAGTTGGCAAGTATCAGCCATGCGAGTTTATATTCGTGTTTTTTTTTTTCTTGCTTTTTTTTTGCGTTTTTTAGCATCTTCATAAGTATTTTAGAAGCGGTAGTGGTACAACTTCAGCAACATCACGCTCTCAGTCACCCTCACATACATCGTCACAAAGGCGACAGCAGTCGATTTCACTTGCATCTGCAGTCGCCTCGAAAAATCTTATTGATGAAGATGGAGCTGTGAGAGCAACGGACCTTTCATCCTTCCGCATTCCCAAGAAAAAGAGGTTCTTTGCATAGCAAATTTTTATAACAAGAACTAATTGCTGGTGAAATGCAGTAATTCGTTGAACTAGACAAATACGAATAGCAGCACGCATCGGAGTAGCCGATGCGATTGTGCAGTTTTGTCCAGCAGACGCTTGCTGTTGAAACATAGACGTGCTTGAGGGCTGGGTTTAAATTTGTAACGTCCCACACGAGCAGAAAACGTCTTCCGAAAATTTCGACTCAAATTTAGCTCCCGAGCATGCCGAGGTCTTACGTCCGATCACGCTGATGCGAAAGTCACTAGCTCGGAAGCTGGAAAATTTGGGAGGATGTTCCTTACCCAAGGTTTCAGTTTTCATGTACCGGCGCGTATTCGACTTCAGTGGGAAATTCCTCAGCTTAAAAGCCAAACAGCTTATCGATTACTTTCCCACACACGATGGTATAAAACAGTTATATTTTTATCAAGCAAACGTCCACTGGACGAAACTGCGCAAAACGCAGATCGCGCGACTACTCTGGTGTGCACTAATATTTGCTTTTTTTCAATGCCAGGTCATCGACAAAACTTGTTGCATCAAGCTTTCACGGACTTGAACCGCCTTCATCGCGCTTCTTAAGTAACTGTCAACGCAAATGACGCTGAACTATTTTTCCAGGATGTAAATATTGCTGGCAGAAACTAAGGAAAATTTTGCTTTAGAAGACTATATGTTAGGGTTCTTTTTGCTGTATTTCACCCATTGTTTTAACTCTCACATTAAAATAAAAAGTTGTCGACAATGCTTTTTCAGACCGTCTTCTCCACCGCGCCGCTTTTCAGTGATGGAAAGCAGCAGGAAACACTTGCTTCCGCCTCGTGACAACAAAACTTTGAACCGTGACCTTTCACCTTCTTGGAAGGTGGATATATCAAGCAATGAAAGCTCGGAAAGTAGTTCCAGGTACATTCTTCACTGTTCTTTAGTACTAATAATTCTTAATTTATCAATGTTTTTTTTTTTTTTTTTTAAATGTGTTTTTGACCTAAAAAATGCTTCGAAGCTACATGGCTTGTACTTTGAGATCAAACTTGACTATATTTTTCCCTTCACTGAATTTCTGGAAAATATGGGGAATGTTTTTGTAGTATGTGTCTAGCTTAAATTTCTCAGCCCAGTGTACTGTTGGCCCTTCTTGGCGCCGGATAAAATAGTTCTGATTTTTGTTGGAGCAAGAACTTTCCAATTTTCAGGAAAGTTGGGTTAGTACTGGTGAGATGCTTTTTTTTAAAAACAGTGTTAAAATTGCGCTGTTCTGCACTCACTATTTTTTTTTTCCTTTTTTCTAGTATTAGGTCGAATGTTTTAGCTACGCAGGGCTTGACAGTTCGTATCGGGAATGCCATTAACATTGGACCTCCAACGGCTACTAATTGAACTCGGCTTAATCAGCTTATAGGCTAGTTGCT